TTTTTTTTATGTTTTATGAATAAACACGATGTTTTGGAAATATTTATCAAAAGAAATTTATACTATGTTGCGAATTACAATTTCGAGATAACCTTCTTTTATTTACGAACTTATGTCTTTGATGCTGAAATTGACAACTTTATAAAAATACATTTTCACTGAAATTATGAAATCTGGGTGTCGGAAAGGTGTAAAATAATTCTTCGGAAAAGAAAAAAACAGTAGTTGAGCTAGATAAGAAATTATACGGGGGCAGGCTCCTATGGAGAATTAACATTACTGGAAACAGGCCCTTTGCAGAGACTCCCCATTTGATGTTGTCTGTTCATCTCTTTGAATAATTAAGGACTAAGGTCTAAGGTCTAAATATACAGCAGTTAGAAAAAAAGTGCTAAAATAGTTCCCATTCCTTCTGTACCCCAGTCGATGTTGTAGCTGTCACAATGACTTACCCAACTCTGTGAGTTCCTGTTTGTGAATACACATCTGTTGTTCCTTCTGCACCTCCAACAGACATCTCTGTACCTCATGCCACGTCATGTTAGGTAATTCAGCCTGCAGGAACAAAATAACCAAACTCAATGTATTGTATTGTTGATACAGTGAAACCTGTTTAATCTGACCCTTGCATATTCAAATATCCTGCATAATCCAGCATGATGCTGTTATCATATTTCTAACAAAAGCTTTCAAATAAAACCAGAGTATTCAGACATCCTGTACAATATGACTCCTGAGTGATCTGCCATCATGTCTAATCCGACCCCTTGGTATTCTGACATCCTGAACAATCTGACCCCTGAGTATTCCAACTTAGTGTATACCTTAATATAATGCTATAATCCTATTCTGAAATATATTAAATAAGACCTGTATATTCTGACATCCTGTACAATCTGACATCATGACTAATATGACCCCTAGGTATTGTGGCTTCCTGTATAATCCAATGTTATGCTATGATCTTATTCTGAAAGTTATTTAAAAAGACCTGTGCACTCTGACATCAAGTACAATCTGATTTCGGAATGTTCTGACACTGTACAACTATTCATGTGTATTATACCCACACAAATTGTACACTCAAACCTGTAACATTGTCACCATTATTGGTGATGATCTAAAGTTGATTTTAAATCAATTTTAAACAATCGGTTTCATAGTCTGACATAAAGAATGTCACAACTCAATTATGGCAAAATGAAACATTACTATATAGCTATGTGGTGTTATGAACAGTGAATACAGAGGTATTGAATCTGTGAGCTTACTGCACAGATGTTTAGGGCAAGATGTAAAGGAGTAGGTTTTCATATATTTAAGTCATGATATTAAATGAGCAGATCTTTGCGTACTTACTGCAGAGATATTGAGGGCATAGATGTAAGAGCAGATTTCTGTACTTACTGCAGAGATATTGAGGGCATGGATGTAAAAGAAGCAGATTTCTGTACATATTGCAGAGATATTGAGGGCATGGATGTAAAAGGAGCAGATTTCTGTACTTACTGCAGATATATTGATGCCAATGGATGTAAAAGGAGCAGATTTCTGTACATATTGCAGAGATATTGAGGGCATGGATGTAAAAGGAGCAGATTTCTGTACTTACATAGAGATATTGAGGGCATGGATGTAATAGGAACAGATTTCTGTACTTACATAGAGATATTGGGGGCATGGATGTAAAAGGAGCAGATTTCTGTACTTACTGCAGAGATATTGAGGGCATGGATGTAAAAGGAACGGATCTCTGTGTATTTGACGATGCTGTAGATGACCTTGATAAGGCGGAATGTCCAGAACACCAGGGCCACCAAGAGAGACAGCACAATGCCAAAGTCAAACCTGAAACACAATTTTGTAACATTTAATGCAATACATGTACATGATATGCCTTGATAACTTGGTCCTCATTATTGTTGCTAGGATTGGTTTTAGTTAACAGTGTTTGAGTTACCCATGTTTAATATTCCTGTAGCCATGTTAACATGAGAGTGGTGTCATTAAACATACAACGTGGAACACTCAGACAGTAGTGTAAAACATATCAGCTGAGCTAAACGAAACTCTAAATATTACACTATATACTCAGATAACACCACTACCACCTAATGTAACACTGTACTAGGCATCAGGTTACATGTATCTTGGCAAGATGCAAATTATTGGGAATTTGCTCAAAACAAATACCCCACATTTCAGTTTTTGCTTTTACTTTTGCCAAGCAACATGAATATATTAAATCATATATTGAAACAGTTGTAGTATATTTTAACTTTGTCACCTGGAAAATGAAGCAAAACTTACAAGGTGGATAATTTAGGAACTTCTATCTAAATTCAGCTGGATTCCATGCTACCTACACTGTACTTGGAAATATTTGTCCTTAAGACAATGTATTCAAGCCAGGGTTCATAAAACATACACATCTTAACACTGGGTAAGTTACCAAGGAGAGAATTCACAGGAATATTCTATTAAATACAATAAACTTGTCATAGATCTAAATCTGCATTGTCACCTGGTCAACCATTAACTGGTGACGGAAATACTTACTCTGCAAGACACTGGTCAAATGGTCGGATGGCCTCAGGAATCGTGACCTTGTGATTGGTTATGTTAGGTCCATTGGCGAACAAGACCTCGTATCGGACACAGGACGCCAAGAAGGTAGAGAACCACACCACAAACACAAATTGTCTGTAAGTCATAAAAAACCCATCATTATTGGGTAGGTATAGCTCAAAAGGTAATAATATAAATGTATCCATATCAACCATGAACAAAAGATTAATTGTTGTCATAGAAATATAGAAATATTAGCATCTTACAATACCCCAGAGCATTGAGATCATTACGTTGAAAAATGCCCTCTTTAGCTAGGCTATCTGGTGAAATAGGATATGACAAATGTTTCCAAAAATCTGTTAAATATACTAACATAGATGTAATACTGTCAAGTATGTATGGATATCATTCTTGCAAATCATTAGAATACAGTCTTCTTCTCCCGAAAACTGCGACAGAACTCATAGGTATGAGTGCAATCATCACAATCAGGTTCTTGGAAGTGGTATTTATGAAATAAGACATTTTTATAAAGATTTGTTTGGAAATGAAAATGATAAATCGCAACAAATGTAGGTTCAAGAATGCAGTATTTGTAATACAGATAATAATATAGATTCAATGTGGTGAGATATTGAAAGAAAGTATGTTGCTTGACAAGTTGTAAATAATGAGTTATTCATATAATTAACAAACAGCTTAGAAAACACATGTAAAATTGATTAAGATAGATTGTCTGATAACATACATGAGTTGTAGTATGTCCTCCACCACCATACAGACATAGCCTCCTCTTTGATGGAAGTTATACACCCTTGCAAAAAAGTCATCTAGATTCTCTATGTGGTTCCAGCGAGCTAAAACAGTAAAAGTTTTTAATAAGAACGATGTGTTATCTGAAATGTTGAATCTCAAGATGCTTCTGCATGCTCAATAAAAGAGAGAAGATTGAACCCATATATTCTTTTTACAATTTTTGTCTTTTACTCATTTACCCCTGAAGTTTCATAATGAACTATTCCAACCTTAGAATTGGAAGAGTTCAAATGGGTTTTTAGGGGTGAATGAGTTAAATAAATCAAAATACACGAATTTATATTATTATATGTAATTAAGGATGTACAATTTCCCATTTAATGGAATAGCCAATAGGCATACTTTGAAAACATTTACAAGGCCAAGTTATATTTCATAATAGTAAATATGAACACATATTCAAAGTTATCAGAAACATACATTTTCTAGCCCAGGCTTACATCAACCATCTATTATTAAGTATTTTACAATCAAATAGAGAATTGTTATTTCATTTATTTCAACATTCATTTAACCTGGTTAACATATCATCATCAAGACATTTACTTACATTATGCTTGTATCAGTGATTATGTTTTTTACCAAAATTCCCTGTATACAATTGATCATAAAATATTTTACAGGCAACATTTTTTTCCAAACACGTAAATTAACGCTTAAGGTAATTATGTAAATATATCAGTAGATAATTTTCAACAAATCAGGCTGGCCTGTTCTCCCTGTCTTTTAATTATATATAATTATGTCAATAAATAAATAGGACAGTGCACAATTTGAAATATTTTTTTTTATAAAATTGTTGGTAGATTTGTATTTCACTAATTAGTCAAATGAATTTTAGGATGTGATGGCAGTTGTATTGTGCTTACAGCTCTCTGGAACTACATGAATCATGAAATTTGTATCATGGATTGGAATCTCATTATCGTCTGTATCCTCCTCTTCGTCGTAAGACGCCAACGATTGGTACTGAGTCTCATACTCTGCCATGGTGGTTACATTCTGACTTCACTATGTACAATTATAACCTGAAATTAAATGAATTAAAGATTTTAGTCCCAAATCAATCAATAAAAGTTCAAACAAAATTATGCCAACAATAAAAATTGACCTACAGATAAACCAATTTCAGGAGAAATCCTGGAATTTGAGAGCAATGGGCCATTTTCAATCATTTTAGTCAATATCAAAACTAGGAGGGGCCATGTATCCTATGTAAAATTAAAGGAAAATTGGAACATGGAGGGGTCATGATCAGCTTCAATTTAGAGGGGTCAATGGCCCCCTCCAGGATTATCCCTGAATTTAGATACAGTGTTTACAATGTAGACTATATACATGTATAGTTAGCCAGCTGTTTAAGAATTTTGAAGTTTACAAACAGCTAAATTAAAGTACATTTTAAACATAATAAAAAGGATAAAAGATACTCAATACCAAAAGTTTGACGATCCATTCTTGTGCCAATACATTATGAAATATATTTTGTACAAAAAGTTCTAGTGTATAAGCTTACAATATTAATTAGAAATCACACCAACAAAATGATAAATACAGATATTGAGTAAAAGGCATCTAAAAGTTTTGTGAAATAACCGTTAAGACTCGAGTGAGAATTAATATTCATTAACGATGTTATTTTAATATTTAAAGCACGTGAATTTGACCAAATGACACAATACATGATTTAAGGATCAAAGCAGTTTTAGTCCCATCCTCAAGTCAATGGACTGCTGAAGCATAACACGTTAAGGACGGTAAACAAACAGACGATGATTCATCGTCTGAAACATAATTTAACACCAAGGTTAAGAACTCTCGCCAATATGAACATTTTAAGGTTACCAGTCTGTAAAAGGACCATGGCTACAGTGGTATCGTCTCGTCATCGAGATATACGTAATGCCCAAAAATGGATATTTATCTGACCTCATGAAGATCTGCCCTCAGCTGACGAAGTCAAACAGACGATACAATATTTTGAAGTTATTGAAGGACAACACATTTTTACCTTTCATGACGAAGTAATCACATTGTAACAGTTGAAATTTGCAGCACGCTTCTTACATTTTTGTAATTATCGAACCACTGCGTCCTATTTCAACAGATTTTGTTAAGTTTACTTTCTTTCTCAAAATGAAAACAAAAATATTGCTATTAAAGTTATCTCTTCCGTGCGTTTGAATGCTAAAGCAGTATAAACGGCGAATAGATAAGCGTCGGAGCAACATAGAACAAATTGTTTATTATACTAACTTGGCGGAATTTCCCGAGTTTCTCCGGAGATAGACGATTGGTACCGTATTTAATCTGCAGCGCTTGTTTTTCCCCCGTACGCCGACTGAACACTGACTTCCGTCAGTGAGATGAAACCCGTAAGGGCGGATTCATGTAGGCGCGAAACCCGTCATCCATCCATCCATTTTTTCCCCGTGATATTCTAGTTTCTAATACATGTCGTATAATCTTGCATCAGGGCAAAATCTGCCACAATCTTAAACAGAAATATATAAGCAGAAATATATTACTTTGTAAACCAATATTCTTTATTAATGACATATGTACAGTCAATATGCACTCCAAAAATCAACCTCTACATAAAGGTCAACTGTCATAGTGTATACCTCCACATAGGTCACCTGTCATAGTGTACACCTCCAAATAGGGGGTCACCTGTCAGTGTATACCTCAAAATAGGGGATCACCTGTGATAGTGTTAACCTCCCAAAAGAGGTCACCGGTCCTAATGTATACCTTCAAATAGAGGTCACCTATCATAGTGTACACCTCCAAATAGAGGTCACCTGTCATACTGTATACCTCCAAATAGAGGTCACCTGTCATAGTGTATACCTCAAAATAGGGGGTCACCTGTCAGTGTATACCTCAAAATAGGGGATCACCTGTCATAGTGTAAACCTCCCAAAAGAGGTCACCGGTCATAATGTATACCTCCAGATAGAGGTCACCTGTTATAGTGTACACTCCAAATAGAGGTCACCTGTAATAATGTATACCTCTAAATAGGGGTCACCTGTCATAGTGTATACCTCCAAATAGAGATCATCTGTCATAATGTATACCTCTAAATAGGGGTCACCTGTCATAGTGTATACCTCCAAATAGAGGTCACCTGTCATAGTGTATAACTCCAAAAAGGGGTCACCTGTCAGTTTTTACTTCCAAATAGAGGTCTCCTGTCATAGTGTATACCTCTTAATAGGGGTCACCTGTCATAGTGTAACCTCCAAATAGAGGTCACCTGTCATAGTGTACATCTCCAAATAGAAGTCATCTGTCATAGTGAATACCACCAAATAGAGGTCACCTGTCATATTGTATACCACCAAATAGAAGTCACCTGTCATAGTGTACACCTCAAATAGAGGTCACCTGTCATAGTGTATACCTTGAAATAGGGATCACCTGTCCATTTATACCTTCAAACAGAAGTCATCTGTCATATTGTATACCTCAAATAGAGGCCACCTGTCATACTGTATACCTCAAATAGAGGTCACCTGTCATAGTGTACACCTCCAAATAGAGGTCACCTGTCATACTGTATACCACCAAATAGAAGTCACTTGTCATAGTGTACACCTCCAAATAGAGGTCACCTGTGATATTGTACAGCTCAAATAGAGGTCATCTGTCATAGTGTATACCTTCAAATAGAGGTCACCTGTCAAACTGTATACCACCAAATAGAAGTCACCTGTCATAGTGTACACCTCCAAATAGAGGTCACCTGTGATATTGTACACCTCAAATAGAGGTCATCTGTCATAGTGTATACCTTCAAATAGAGGTCACCTGTCATACTGTATACAACCAAATAGAAGTCACCTGTCATAGTGTACACCTCCAAATAGTGGTCACCTGTCATACTGTATACCACCAAATAGAAGTCACCTGTCATAGTGTACACCTCCAAATAGTGGTCACCTGTGATATTGTACACCTCAAATAGAGGTCATCTGTCATAGTGTATACCTTCAAATAGAGGTCACCTGTCATACTGTATACAACCAAATAGAAGTCACCTGTCATAGTGTACACCTCCAAATAGTGGTCACCTGTCATACTGTATACCACCAAATAGAAGTCACCTGTCATAGTGTACACCTCCAAATAGTGGTCACCTGTGATATTGTACACCTCAAATAGAGGTCATCTGTCATAGTGTATACCTCCAAATAGAGGTCACCTGTCATACTGTATACCACCAAATAGAAGTCACCTGTCATAGTGTACACCTCCAAATAGAGGTCACCTGTGATATTGTACACCTCAAATAGAGGTCATCTGTCATAGTGTATACCTTCAAATAGAGGTCACCTGTCATACTGTATACCACCAAATAGAAGTCACCTGTCATAGTGTACACCTCCAAATAGAGGTCACCTGTGATATTGTACACCTCAAATAGAGGTCATCTGTCATAGTGTATACCTTCAAATAGAGGTCACCTGTCATACTGTATACCTCAAATAGAGGTCACCTGTCATGGTGTACACCTCCAAATAGAGGTCACCTGTCATACTGTATACCACCAAATAGAAGTCCCCTGTCATAGTGTACACCTCCAAATAGTGGTCAGCTGTCATACTGTATACCACCAAATAGAAGTCACCTGTCATAGTGTACACCTCCAATTATAGGTCACCTGTGATATTGTACACCTCAAATAGAGGTCATCTGTCATAGTGTATACTTCCAAATAGAGGTCACCTGTCATACTGTATATCTTCAAATAGTGGTCAGCTGTCATACTGTATACCACCAAATAGAAGTCACCTGTCATAGTGTACACCTCAAATAGAGGTCACCTGTCATAGTGTATACCTTGAAATAGGGATCACCTGTCCATTTATACCTTCAAACAGAAGTCATCTGTCATATTGTATACCTTCAAATAGAGGTCACCTGGCATACTGTATACCTCAAATAGAGGTCACCTGTCATTGTGTACACCTCCAAATAGAGGTCACCTGTGATATTGTACACCGCAAATAGAGGTCATCTGTCATAGTGTATACTTCCAAATAGAGGGCACCTGTCATACTGTATATCTTCAAATAGTGGTCAGCTGTCATACTGTATACCACCAAATAGAAGTCACCTGTCATAGTGTACACCTCCAATTAGAGGTCACCCGTGATATTGTACACCTCAAATAGAGGTCATCTGTCATAGTGTATACTTCCAAATAGAGGTCACCTGTCATACTGTATATCTTCAAATAGGGGTCAGCTGTCATACTGTATACCTCCAAATAAGGGTCACCTGTCATACTATATATCTTCAAATAGTGGTCACCTGTCATAGTGTATATCTCCAAATAAAGGTCACCTGTGATATTGTTTACCTTCAAATAGAGGTCACCTGTCTATACCACTAAATAGAGGTCACCTGTCATATTGTACACCTCAAAACAGAGGTCACTTATCAGTGTATATGTAAACAAGAGGCCCAGCCTAAACAGTCACCTGAGTCCTACAGTATTTATTTTTGTTGTTGAAATATGCACCAATTTGAGTACAAAATAGTTAATCATAACGTTAACTTAAGTTTTCAGAACCATGAGCTGATCATTCCTAGACTGAGTTTCAGTTAAATCGGCCTATTAGAACTTGTTTTTCAGTTTGAAATAGTTTTTCAAAATGGCAGCCGTGTCGGCCATATTGGATTTCTGATCAACCCGAAAAAATAACAACACTTTGTCAGGACCATGAGTCGATAATTCCTACAGAGTTTCAGTTCAATCGGCCCAGTAGAACTTGACTTTAAGTTTGAAATAGTTTTTCAAAATGGCAGCCGTGTCGGCCATATTGGATTTCTGATCGACCCGAAAAATAACAACACTTGGTCAGGAGAATGTAAGTAACTTTCCCATGAAATATTAATGAAATCCCTTTGCCAGTATTTCAGCTTAAGTTGAAAATGTAAAATATTAACGGACGACGGACGATGGACGCCGCTGGACGAAGACTGATAGCAATAGGTCACTTGAGCTAAAGGTCAGGTGACCTAAAAAGGAGGTCATTTATTACTTTTGCCCTCCAAATAGGAGTCACAAGTGATAGGTTTACCCTTTAAATACATGTAGGTTATATATACTTCAAATACAGGTCAAACAATTCTTTATATTTTGAGGTATAGTCTATGTCAATTGTCTTTGTATATATGTTTAATCCCAATGGCCAATGGATGTTCTGGATCAAATTTAGTCAAAATCTGCTCAGCTCTTACAGATTAGTAGCGTTTTAAGGAAAAGTTCAAGGACAGACGGATGGTCGCAGTGCCATTGTATAAGCTCTTATTTTGTGAGCTAAAACATTGTTAAAATTGAGTAAAACTGTAATTAATATAAGTAAAACGAAAACAACAAACTGTAATCTTGATTTCTTTTAATCAACAAATCTGATTTCACAATGTGTATAATGATGATGTAAGTAAGGATGGACATTATAAACTAACTGGGAATCACAGGCGTGGTACCGAATCTTTAAATCTAAGGTCAGGTAGAGTTCGGCCAGACACATACATACTTTTTTGATGCTGTATATTAATATCATATAATACTAATAATTATAAAAAATACTGCAAAAAATTGCACATGATTTCCTATACATATATTGAATCCATCAAGGATTTTGATCAATTTGCCAGACAGTATATAAGATGGAGTCTATAGATATAACTTTCTTTTTGACAAGGGACACGCACTTGTATGGTCATTATGTCTAGCAGGCGACTAGAATAATTGAGAAAAAGCTATGAAAATGACAGATCTCTATTAAATCAATGCTGGAAAGTTGAAGCTCAGAAGCCCAGACATCTTGGAGGCAGTCGACGCAGGATAATTAACAACCGACCTGACTGCAGCTTACAAGTATTGACCAACAAAAAAGGGTTGTATCAAAGATAAAAGGTGGTTTATGAACACAAAAGAAGGCACCCACATTGCTCCATGCTAACTTTGAGCAAAATCCATTCAGCCATTTTGGACTAGTAGACTTTTAAGTGAAAAGTTGACAGATGTACAACGCACCATGGCATAAGCTCACATACCCTTCAGAGCTAAAAGCCTGAACAGTAATTTCGACAAATCATTGATATTAATGAATTTTTAGTTTCTGACAATATCAACATCTTTCTTGCAATCACATTGCTCACATAAT